AAAAAAAAAGAAAATCATAACAAAATTTATACAATAATAAAAGGTTAGAAATCCTTGAACAAAGTTTTTATATAACAAATCAACCCCATCAGATGAAACTTTCGAAAAAATTTTTAATGATAAAATTTCATAGGAAACTTGGACATGAAAAGAAGTAGAACTTAATTTAATTGAGTCTACTTCTAGTAAGTTTTACTTCTTTTCATGTCCAAGTTCCCTATGAAATTTTATCATTAAAAATTATAATTTTGGACGAGAGAAAATGCTAAATAAATTTCGAAAAAATGTTTCTTTTATTTTTCAATTCCTGTGTGTGTGTGTGTGTGTATGTTCACTATCTGAACTATAGGAAAAGTGACTTTTACGGAACGATATCGAATTAAATCGACTACTAGGGGGTTGGGGAAGGGGAATTGAGGGGTTGTTGTTGTTCATTTTACACCCGATTTATCGCAACTCCAATAACACATAACCGTGACACGTCGATCACTAGAGAAATAGAGAAACGATGAACTGTACGATTTCATTCTATTCCATTCCATTCCGTTCCGTTCCATTCTATTCCATTTTCTATTTGATTAAGATCTATCTGAGTATCTTACATTGAAATATTAACGTTTTCTCGTTAGAAAGGAAACCTAGAGTGCTTTCAAACAGAGATAGAGATAGATTGAGAGAGAGAGAGAGAGAGAGTGAGATCTTTAATTAAGATTATATATACCAAACGTAGAAACTCTGAAAAGAGGTTAGAATGGAAAATGGCGGGAGAAGATATTGTAGAGGATAAGTTTAGACAAGGGGAACGATGAAATTCAATGTTTGTCATGAAATTTTTCGATCAATATCAGTTTTCCACGTGAATATAATTATTTATCATAAATAAAAAACAACTGATGTATGTATTTATGTACGCACGTAAGAAATTATACTTATTTAGCGTATCAAAAACGAATATAACCTCAAAAATAAATTCAATTTTCCCGCCAATCGTAAATATCGACAACTTCGTGGTGTTGATTTTTTCGATCGCATCTAACTTCACTTTTCAAAACGTACACGAAAAGAGAAGTATAACTTTAAAAAGGAAATAAAGAAAATGAAGAAAATGATAGGAGAGAGGAAAAAGAAGCAGAAAAAAATAAAAATAAAAAGAGAGAGAGAGAGAGAGAGTGGATAAAAAGAGAAATGTCGAGAACGATGCCAAGAAGACTGCGATAGGAAAAGAGAAAAGTAGCTCTCTCTCTTTCTCTCTTTCTTTTTTCTTTTTTTCTATTTCCCTTTTTCTTTCTTTTTCTGTAGCTTATCGTCGATGAGGAAACATTAACGAGGCACGTTCGAGGGAACAAAGCAGCACCCGTTCTTGATGGTTTCGACGATACCATCTAGTTTTCTTTCTTTCTTTCTCTCTTTCATTGTTTCCTTCCTTCCTTCCTTCCTACCTTCTTTTTTTTTTATTTTTTTTTATTTGCTAATATGTAGTACCATAATTTGTATAATGGATACAGTATTTTAGAAACGGTACACAATGACACACACACACGCACACACACATTTTTATATTAAATATTTGTGTAAATATTATGTGTGTATATATGTGTTTGCATGTACAAAGTACTATACGTAAAGAATTAAATATTTTTTAAATGCACCTACCCCCCACTCCTCTACCACTTGTTAATCATACTTAAAAATTGTTAATGATACCTATCATGCGACATATCATATTAAAGGTAATCCAAATTCAAATTTAATTGCATCAACGTTATTGAATTACGTCGTAACTCTGACGAGATATAATGAAAAATCTCTGGTTTAACGTTTGTGATAATTATTTAATTTAAGTATTATCGACATTTTTTCCAATGTATATATAATATAGGGATACATTTAATATTAAAATTCATCAAATTATATTCACATTTTATTAATTGAAAATATTTTCCCGTAATTTTGTTAGATTAGATTATTATTTATTGTATAAAACGGAAATAATAATAATAATAATAAAAATGAGATAAACTTGTGTTACATCATACACAGGGTGGTTTATCTAAATTTATACACGTGCGCGCGAATACTGTCGAAACGGATGTATAAAAAGAAAAAAAGGGGGGAAAAAAAAAAGGAAAAGAGAATTGAGAGAATGAAAAAAGAAACACAATAAAAAAAAAAAAAAAAAAAAAAAAAGAACTGCAGCCGTACTTTTTCGCATAGAAAAATAGAAAAATAGAAAGAGAGAGAGAGAGAGAGAGATAAAAAAAAAAAAAAGATGCATTTTGATGTAGAGCCAGAATTTTTTGTGAACGTTTCAGGTAGTACTACGGATTTGCTGCCAGCGCTTCTTCTCATTCACGGTGATTCCTATTCGTGGGGTGCCGGAAATTCATTCGATGGGACCTCTCTAGCCGCTCACGGACGTCTGATCGTCGTTTCCATCAATTTTCGCATTGGCGTACTCGGTGAGTATCCACCCTAAACCCTTCACTCCCACTCAACCGTTCACCCACACCCTACTATGTTTTCTATCTTCGCGAATTGTATTTTTTTATTGGTCGACTACTACTATAATTAATTTCCGAATTTTTCTTTACAATTGTTCAAATAATATCTCAACATATTTTGCAAAGTTGCAATATGTTGCAATTAAAAAAAAAAAAAAGGAATTGTGTTTAGGTTTAACTCGGTTGCATATATATATATATATGCAATAATTAAAAAAATAACAAATTAATTATACCATAAAGACAATAATTGTATAGTTCATGCTAATAATAATAATAATAATAATATGCAAAAAAACGATTATATATTATAATAATATGATAATAATTAATATGATAATACGATGGAATTAATTTACATAGAAGAGAACTTAAAACTCTCAACTTTCAGTCATAATAATAATAATAATAATAATAATACTAGGACATTACACAGTAATCTTAATAATGATGTCTAATGAAACTCTTAAACTTTTATTTTAATTTCGTAATAATAATAATAATAATAATAACTGCAACAAATATGACGAATCGTTCCTTTTTATATTATCTCTCTTTCATTTTTATTTGAAAAGAGCAACAGAGTGCCAAATGGGGTCAATTTTCTGCACAGGCAAGCTAATTCTCATCTTTATTGGACTTTCTTCTTCTTCTACTTTTTTTTATCCACTCAAATCCGTGGTAAAAAAAAAGAAATAAAAAATAAAAAAAGAAAAATGGTGAAAGAAATCTTGAGTGAAACGAAAGACACCAACCCCTCTCTCTCCTTTTTTCTAACTAAAAGATAAAAATAAAATTTGAAAAGCTCTCTCTTTCTCTCTCTCTCTCTCTTCTAGCCTAGCATAGCTTTTGACGTTGGTAAGAAGAAGAAGAAGAAAAAAAAAAGGAAAAACCATTACGAACCGAGAGAAACGTTTTTAGAGAATATAATCGTTTTTACTTAACTAAATTCGCGAGAACGATCTCCGAGGAATGCAATTCTCCGTAGTCTGAGAAATAACGGGGGAAAAGAAAAAAAAGAAAGAAAGAAAAAAAAAAAAAAAGAAGAAACAGGTGGACGAACGACGAAGGGGGGAAAAGAGGAAGATGACTTAAACGACTTGGGGGTGGAGGGGGATAGTGGGGTGTACTAATCTGGTCGTGGTTAATGCGTCTTTTGAATATTTCACGAACTAATTTTCCTACAGAATGACCAACAACAACAATAACAACAAAAAGAAGAAGAAGAAGAAGTCTAGAAAATTGTGCAACGGTCAAGTCGAGTTGTTTTATTTTCCTTTTTTTTTTATCCTTTTTTTATCTTTTAGCACTTAAAAAATTTTCCTATTTTTCTATTTGAAATATTTAACATAGAAAATGGGTCGGAAAATATATTTTAATAATAATCTTCTAACACGGTACCAAAAAAGATACGAAAGAAGGAAAATTAATGTTTGGATTGGATGATACAAAAAAAAAATAAATTATGTCGTATTTATTTATGAATTATTATGAATTATGTCTTTAAAAAGCAGTCAGTTTTAATACCAATCAAATTTTTGTAAAATACAATATTTATTTTGTTCATATAATAAATGAAAACAAAAAATCAAAAAAGAAACGAAAGGGGTGAGGAAAAAAATGTTGCAAATCGAAATTAGTAGAAAGACAAAATGATTTTAAACTTGGTATCAAATAATAACGTTGAGATTCCTAAAATTATTAATTTCTATAAGTAAGGATCGGTGTGAAAAAAAGGAAAACAATTGGTCTGCTAAAAAAAAAAAAAAAGAATAAAAGAATAAAAGAAAAATACTTTGTTGGTTAATCCGTACCCCAATTGCGAACAGACACTCGAATACTTAAATTAACTGCAAGAATAGAACGACAAGTAGAGAAAAAGAATAAAATATATATATATAGGTTAAATGTTTCTAACTCGAATATAGGAAGATAGAAAAGTGTGTTAGTTGTCGTTGGAAACGTTTCCTACCATTTTACTATTTCCGTGGTACCTACGACGCTCGATTTCATTCTAACCTCCTGAGACATTGCAAATTTAGTTTGTTTGAACTTTCCTATTATTCGTCGTCTAGGAGTTTGTTAGTTCGTACGTTCATTCGTACGTTCATTCGTTAGAGTTCGTTCGTTCATTCGTTTGTACCTTTGCTAAACGTAGGATCCATTAAATTAATTAATTGTCTCGAAAATATCATATTGTATTAATGCAACTAATCATATTTATTGAATTATCTTAAAGATGCAAATTATTTTATATTATTATTTTTATTTATATTATAACAATTATGTTATATTATTATTTTTATTTATATTATAACAATTATTTTATATTA